TTTTCCTCCTCATTTCAAAAGCAACAAAAGTGACTTTGCCGCCGCTCCTGATTCAGCAGCATTTTTCCTCTTTTTTTTGTGAGGGATGCTGCTCCAATTTTCATTGCGCGACTTTTATGACTTTGCCTGCCGCTGCTTTTGACTTTTATCGAATGCAAATTGTTTTATAATAATGCAATCAAAATCTTTGTCAAGTCTGTTTATTGATGTGTTTATTTTGTTTTGGTTTTGCCTGATAATGCCGGCAGCTGAATAACATTTAACAAGTGGAATAAATTTGGAGAGGAGCCACTTGAGTGTCGAAGCTAACAGGCTTACAATGTTTTCTAATGGGTTTCCCCCGGGACTTATGGGGGATACTCAGAATAATTTTGTTTGTTAAGATAACAGGATTCTTTCATTGTTAGGAATGAAGTAAAACGTAATACAATACGTTAATATCCTGTTTTAATAACTCTACTAATTAAATTAAGTATGATTATTTTAGAACCATTTCCCCAAGGAATTCCAAACCTAAAGTACATTTATAGTATAGTCAGATATATCCCTCATCACGACTTACTGGTTCCCAGCTCTTGCCAAATTCCACACTCACATTAAAAATAAATAAAAATTGAATACTTGAAGCTGGGGAAAAGCCAGTGTAACCCCTTGAAATCCCAATCTTGGCAAGAGTTGCACTGGTGACGTGACTAAGCCAGAATAGAAGAGACCACCCAGTGATTCCAAGGCATTTACTGCAGCGTCTCTGCAAATGTTTCCTTACTTGTACTTACACTTTTTTTATTGTTTCCTGATTTCATTCCTTTTTCCTGTTTTTTTCCTGGCAATGTACTTAAATCACGGGAAACGTGCCAAGCAACCGAACAAGGACAATAACAGAAAGAGTGACATTTATAAGGCAGGCCAGGTCACTAGATGGTGTTTTAAACTGGGCCGTTTTAATGAATCGATCATCAGCCTGGCGTGCTGTGTAAATAACAAATTTTATGCATTGCACAGCGGTAACTACAATTATGGAAAAACATCAATGACAATGGCAATAACAACTACAACATCAATACCCGGCACGACAATAACAACACCATGAAACAGCAACAACAATAACAATAATTGTATTTACACATAATTGACCATAATCTCCAGCAGCATTCTCGTTATTCAGTCCCTGTCCCCTCGAACGACAGATTTTTATACCCGCTATTTGTACGGTTCCAGGGGTATATTATATTTACGTAAGTGTTCTCTAGTCATAAGTATAAGAATAGGAAATCATTAATATTTAAAAGAAATTCCTTCTTGTTTAAAGATAAATAAAATAATAAATCTTGATCATTGGTGTATAAATTCTTGAAGAATTCTGATAAATTGATGTAAGAAAATATATAAATTTAAAATTAATGTATTGAAAATATGTGGCTTACATAAAGATGTACCTTAAAAAATCAGGTTTGGCAGTTGTAGAAACTGATACTTCCTGGTAACCTTAATATGATACAATCTTAACTGACCAAAATGAAAAAACTAATATGTAAAAATTATCTTCTCATATAAGATTAAAGTATAGAACGGTTTCCAGTTAATCTTTATAGCTTATAGGGCTATATATTTTAGAAAGAAATATCATTTACGTATATTTAGGAATGGTTATATAAATTGTTAGGCTAGTCCAAGTAGGCGGAACAGAATTTTAAAAAGGATGTTCAGTACCGGGTATCCTTTAGTCGAATCATTACCACCAAGCGTTCCTCTGTGCTTCCTCTCTGGGTTGTTGTTTTCGTTGTTTTGGTTAAGGCCCAACACCAACTTCAACACCCAATTCGGTTGGTTGCCCATGAAAATGGCCGCAGGCGACATTTTATGTTGCTGTTGCTGCTGTTGGTGTTGCTGCTTTTGGTGTTGTGTTGCCAGTGTGCTGTTGGTAATGTTGTTTTCACCGAGCTCTGTTCGCATTGTCTGACTGTAGTTAAATTTAAATGCCAGTAGGCGAGGCGGCAAGGACTTCCACTCGGGGCAGGGCCATAAATTAAATAAAATGAAATGAAATAATTTGGTCACGCACTTTCAACTGTTGACATTTGGCCTTAACGGCTCCGCCCAGAAAAATTGTTATTACGGATAATCCAGGCGCGGGGGCCTTTAAGTCGCTACATTGATCCCCATTGGAGTCGGGAAATCAATGTTTTATACGCGGCTCGGTCCATGCAAAATGGTTGCAACTCGTTGCCGTTGGCAGTGCTGCATATTTATGGGCCACCGAATGTCGGCAACATGCAGCCATGCGAAATCCACTTCATGACCGAAAATTAGTTTTTAACCCACAAAATAATCCCGAATGACATAAGGATGGGGAGAAAAGCGCGAAAATAAAAAGCCGGCAACCACAGCGAACATATTACAGTGGCGGACCAGGACCCTTCGTCCTGTGGCCCTTAGTCCATAGTCCTTGCTTGCCGGAAGTTGTAAAGCTGCCATTTCTCGGCCATGTTGTTGATGTTGCCACTGCCACCGACTTGGCTTTTCCAGCAACGATTCGCGGCCTCGTAATGCGGTCATTGTTATTGCAATTGTTGTTTCTGCCGCTGCCGTTGCTGGGTAGTGGTAGTTGTTGCCTTGTTGTAGTAGCGCATTTGTTGTATTAACTTTTTCCAAGTGGCATGCAGGGCCAGCAGCGGTGGCAGCCCCAACAATACCTCTCGAACGCCACCCCCGACGTGGGCCATAATTTATTAAAGCCTGCACCAGAGTGCTCCAGCGTCGGGCCAGCGCCCCGGCACACAATTGAAATTTAAGCAGCAGCAGCAGCAGGGTGGCAGAGGCAGAGGGCAGAGGGCAAAGGGCAGCGCTCCAGCAAAGTTGCAGAAAATGCGAAACACTGGAGGAATTCCCCAACCCTCCGATTTCACCACTGCCCCGCCTGCAACGCGCCACCAGGGAAAATGGTAATCGAAATGTTCGCCGCACGAATCAACGCAAACAAGGCATACAGAGAAAAAAAATGTATAATAAATATTACCACCATCGTTTCATTTAAAAATACATTTTTATTTATTTATATTTGTACAATTTAAAGACAAAACTCCCTCCAATATAAAAATATTAAAAGAATCTTTATATATTTGGAATTTTGTATGATATCCACAGTAGTTATATCTACATATATGACATTCTTACTTATGATGACACCAAATTTAGAATGATTAATTTTTAAATAAATTAGCAAGCTAATTGGTATAAGGATAATAATAATAAAAATAATATTATTTCATTTTATTTACTATAAATCAAAAACTCTTCCTGTTATATTTCATCAAAATGTAGGATTTGAAATCAATTTACCAAGAACTACATAGATGTGACTGATTTTTTAGTTGGTTTCTAAAACAGAGGATCTCTTAAATTTTTTTGTTAGCTTTTTACAATTTTACCAAAACTTGTAGGTATTTATTTCTCTCAAATTATAATGGATTAAAAAAGAAGCATGACCCATTTAGGAGACCCTTTTCCCAGTGCAGCGCTGAGCAGCGGTGGGAGTTGGCCTGCAACACTGGCCAGTTTCCAGTCAATGTCTTGCCTCCTCCGCCGCTTTTCCCTTCTTTTTTTCTGGCCTCCTTCTGCAGTCAAAGTTTTTGGTCGAAAACTTTTTGGGGTTCGGGGAAATAATTCATGAAACATGGCGAGCGCGAAACGCGAAAAGCGAACATTTTTGTGCCTGTGCCGAATCTGATTGTGACACAAACGAATTGTTCTGGTTGTCGTCGTCGGAGTTTTGGATGTGGAGGAGGTCCTGGTAGGTCCTGGTTGGTCCTGGTAGGTGGGACAAGAACAGGAACAGAACCGCCGGTCGGTCGCATATTTATGTGCCTATTTCGCGTTTTTTCTATGTGCCCGGGAGCATTACTCTTCTTGGCATGCAAATTTATGGTGTGTCCCAAAACAATTGTTATTGTGTTTTCAACTTTTGCTTGATTTGTGTGTTTTAAGTGATTCCAAATGGGTCGCCGGGGATTGAGCGGGGTGTCCACTGGGTCTGTTGGCAATTTGCGGCCATGAGGAGGTTGCCGATCCCCAAAAATCCCCAAAAACCCCCAACCGCCAATGGCTGATAATTTCTTGGCTGTCATCGGGCCAGACGCGCGCCGCATATCTCAATGCAATTCTAAGCACCCAATAACCATAAAACACTTTAAAGTCCAACCGAACTATGGCTATTTCGTCCGCTGGATTCCCCACTGACTTTTGTTTATTTGTATTTCCGCAAACAATTCGACTGGCAGGGCAGTCCTGCAAACTTCTGCGGCCATGCAATTGTTGCCACTGTTCTGGTTCCTCTGGCTTTCTGGTTACTTCTCGGTTTTGGCAGTAGGCCACTTCCTGCAGTCGCCGCGGAGTAAGTTCAGCTGCGTCCGCATGCAATTCGTGAATTTTTGAAGGCACTTCTTTTGTTATTCCGGCTCCGGAATCCTCCTCCACCAGCTTTTCCCCACCCGACTTGCAATATGCAAACGGTCATTTTGTTAATGAGCGTGGGGCATCAGGAGGAGGAGGTTTAGGGGGTAAAAAAAAAAATAAAATAGGAAAAGTCAGGAGCAGCAGCAGCGAACTACAACTTTTACGGGGCATCCGGCGGATGAAGAGGGTTTTTGAGATAGAAGAGGAGAAGGAGGTGGCACTGGCGGAAGGACCATGACCGGTAGGCAATGGCTATAAAGCCGACTGCTTAGATAGACAGCAGCCCCTGTGTTCCCAGTCTGCTGGCCGGATGACTTGGTTTATTTTACGTAATGAAATGAAATTGAAATGAATGTTTTATAAACCGCCAGCTCTGTTTTCCCCACTCTCCTCCCCCACTTGCAGCCAACATAAAATTATGATAAAAACTAAGAGCTACATATAAACATAATTGCAATGTTTTTTTATGCACCCATCCATCCCCCACTTTCGTGTCGGATTTTTCAATACAAATCATTGTAAATGCTTTAAACTGTTCACCATGAATTAACATAATTAAAAGGCCCGCATAAATATTTATGAGCAATTTGCAATTACGTGTGTATAAAGACAAATACGAGTAAGCCGAAATAGTTGAGGGACTTTACACATTGAATTTGCATGCAATTGTGCGACATAAAAATACATATCGAAATCCTTCGTATAAAAGAATTGCAAGGAGCAGAGTCCGGGGATTTAATTAAATTTGGCTTAATGTTGTCACCGCAAGAGAGTTGCTGCTGCTTGTTGCATGTTGCATGTTGCTGCTGTGGCTGCCGGCTGGAATTCGGTTATTAAACATTCTGTGGATTCTCCTCACGGTTTTCGTAGGCCAAGAATTTATCGAATTCAATTAGTATGGAGAGCACAGTCTCGCCTTGACCGCTGCGAAGAATTATGAGTCTGATATTACCCAAAAAGGATATTTGACTTACCTGTTGATTAAATCTTTGAGGGTTATTTTAAGCGGATCCTTGGGTCTGACCATGTCAAATATCTCATCCTTGAGGTCCTGAAAATTCACGGCCTCCGCCTTCAAAGTTTTAAAGCGCGCTTCAATGCCAGCGTAGAAATATCGCAAGGTTTGGGCTGTCAAATATCCCTGCTGATTTATGTCTAGGATACGGAAAATATAGTGCAAGGCTGGGAGAGACTTTAAGGCTTGATTTTGAAATTTATTTTTAAGGAGAATATGAAAGGACCCCTTACTTTTCGATTTTCCATTGCAAAGTAAAAGTCTAGAAAGGTTTTGTAATCCATTTTTCCACTATAAGTACGACACACCTCGAATGCTCGATCCAGAAATATGGAAGTTAGGCTACCAGAACCGTATTTAGACAGCTCCTTCTTGCTCAGCATACCGTCATGATCCCTATCTAAATCGAGATACTTTTCGTAAATACCCAAGATAGCGGGCATTGAAAAACAGTTTCTCGTCTCGTTTTCCTTTGCATCGTTGTAGTTTGGCTTATCACGTAGCGCTAGTAATTGCGATAGCAATCCCGAGGATACTATATCCCTAATTCGTATACGTCGCATATGAAGATGGTCCAGGAAGAAGAAAAACTTCTTTACCACTGTACAGACGTAAAACCTCTCGAATGAGGGCTGCATAGAATCTCGGATTTGTGTCAGCTTGGGTATAATGTCTGCGATATAGCTCTCCAGACCACTTTCACTTAAATATCCTTGTCCAAAGTCATCGTAAGAAGAAAGCCCAATGTGTCCTTGGATGACCGAAACCCTTCGTACTATATGATTATAAATAGATACGATTTCCAAAAGGCCGGGATAATTAGAGGATAGCATCAGTTCGAAAAAAAGTGCCACTGTCATTAACTTTTGACACTTGGCACTTACTTTCGAAACGACTATCAAATAATCATCCAAGTTGATGAGTTGCCGCTTTGATCTAGTAGTTTCGGTCACATGCATTTCAATGGTCCTCCACAGATCATTCAAATCCTCCGCATTGAGAAGCTCCTCCGCCTGATCCTGTAGAAAAAGGGAATGGGCCTCTCGACGCTGCAACTGACGGGTTTTATCCTCTGGTTTTGGTGGAGGATCAAAGAATTTCGGTATTTGGTTATAAGAAGGGTGATCCATGACGCTAAGATCCTTATGTTCTGTATTCTTGGCAGAACTATTAACGAAAGCCTCGAAGGAACACATTTCCAGCTCCATTTTTCAACGCAGCAAAACAAAATAATCAACTTCTGTTTACATATATGACAAAGTTTGACAAGTGAATCTTATTCCAATGAAAATATATTAACTTAAAATACAAAATTAGCAACCAAAATATATTTTAAAATTTAAAAAAATGAAACAATATGAAAAATAAAATATAAATGCTAAAAGAAACAAGCAATTTAAGCATTAAACTTTCAACGAATAATTTTAACATGGACTCGATTTAATTCCCTCTTTTTTCTAATTTCAGGTTCCACCATTAAGGGCGTCGTGGCCATACTGAATTGTATCCTGGCACGTCAGCTATGTTTCGAGGATCCCTCATGTTCGGCCATATTGGAAATAATACCGCGCGTCTGCGGGCCCATACCAGGTAAATAAACAAATAAACCAGCCTGCAAAACATCGTGCAAATCAAATCGATACTTTTACCGCGCGCTGATGAAATGTTTACACAAAATCTATGGGTTTTTGTGTCAAGTGTTTGCAGAGCTCTCGGGAACTTGCGGCGACCAACGCTGATTATGCGCAAGTTTTGGTCATTTGAGAATTAATTTCCGCTGCCAGTGCGAGTCGGTTGAATATATTATATTTTCCCTTTGTTTTTATTTGCTTGGGGGCTTTTGTGTGTGGGGCCGCATCGACAACTGTGTAATTATTTCAGCAATTTTTGTGTGTTCCGTGAGCAGGCGCGCGTGCCATAAAACAGTAAATAACAGTGTACACTTAAAGCGCAACAGAAGGCCAGAAGGAGATCGGCCACGAAACGCCAGCGAACGGCATTTGAATATTCAAATGCCCCAGAGAGTCGATGGCCTGTTCCTGCAATACCCTGTACGAAAAGGAGTAATGGGGAGTGCTGGGGTGTATTGCACTCTGGCCTACTGTGCGTATGAGTAATATTTGGAAACACAAAAACTAGCAGGAGGTGTTCAGTTCAGCGATAAAGATATGAAACTTATTTTAAAGCACTTATTCAATATGATTTTCCATTATTTTAAGTGAACAAATGTTGAAGTTTGGGGATTTTCCAAAAAGGCATTCACAGTACAATTTTTAGTTTTATTATATGAACTTGAGTATCTATCTGTACATGCTCGAGATTTTTTTAAACCTCTCGAAAAGATGACCTTAAAATATTTTAATAAACTTAAAGCTTCGCCTGGAAACGTTTAAAATTAAGAGTTGGTACAAAATTTGGAAAGCCTGATTTTAAAAAGAAAAGAGAAAATTTTAATAAATTATAATATGGGACACCCTTTAAAAACGTATATCTTTCTTGGAATAATCACATTATATTAGCTTTAAAAATAGGATAAAGATACCATTTGATAAATGATTATTTAACCTATTATTTTGCTTATTTTCACTTAAAGTGCCTACAAATCAAGCTGGTGGGTATTTCTTTTTCCAACATTTGACTTTTAATATCCTGTTTGTTTTTCTCCGGCGGAGTGAGTGAATGTGTGCGGTGGGCGCACATGACCTGAAGGTGCAAAATGAAAAAGAAATGCGTGGCTGGCGGCGTCCTTCTTATCCGGGTACCCACATTCACATTCACATTCACATCCCCTCCCACCCGTTCACCTGGGCACCTTGCCACCCACTTTATTCACCTGCCACCTATTCATTCTGCCGCTCAAACAAAGGCCAGCGACGAACGAATGAGCGCGCCGCAGAAAAAGTTAATTTATAAATTATTCAGTAATTTGTTTTAGACTCTGCTTTAGCCGGTGCCCCACCCACCGCGACGGCAACAACAATGGAAATAAATTTCTTTTGTGCCTCGCTTTGATCCGCCCTCATTCAAAATGTGTATCTAAGCCGGGACTTTTCCGCGAGCACGGTGGATAGACCACTCATTCCCGGTTCTGTTCCCCGTCATGGTCGCGTAGTTTGTGTCCTGTTTGGAGGAGCTCGAAAGCCCGGCCCCGAGTATCGTGCGCATAAGTCCGCTCTTATATTTAATTATTAATGTTCATTCAGTCCGGCCAGCGTCTTGTGGCATTTCTCAGCTTTTGCCGAGCTCCTCCGCCCGCCGACCGCCATGCCAAACCATCATCATCCGGCACCACGTTGGCTTCCATTTAAGTGGCTTTCACCTTTGTGCGGCTGTGGAGGAACACGGCGAAAAAATCGCATTTAAAACGGAGCATTAACGGCTTTAGTTTGCTCGAGGCCAGCTTTCTCTTTTCTTTGTGCACTCGAAAAAAATAATAAACATTGGAACCCTGAGTCAATCCGGCACTCAACTTTCAAAAGATTAAGATTTTTAAATTTTCTTAAAACTTAATAACTGTCACTTAAAAATAATTATTTTTTGTCCAATTTTCGTGTTTTTTAGGGGAGACATCTAATTTTTTGCAAAAAATGGCAAAAATAAAAAATTTCTAGGTTTGAATGCCAGCGGATTGGAATTTTAACAACGAGCTCAAAGAGGTATGACATTTCTCACTCGGACGTTTTGTTGCATTATGGCGGGCAAAACACTGATTTTTTAGGTCGAAAAAATTGAATTCAAATTTTAGTCAAAAATACAAAATTTTTAAGCGGTTTTTTGATCGCAGTTTAGCCAAATCAAGGCGTACAGCTATAAGACCGACTGTTTTGAGCAGCTTGCTAGATTTGCTAACGATCCTTATCACTTTTAGAAAAATCTATTTTTTGACCAATTTTCTCAATTTTTGTAGGGGTTGCATCACTTTTTTGCGAGAAATGGCCAAAATGCAAAATTTTTAGGTTAGAATGCCAATCGATTGGAAATTAAACAACGAGCTCAACGGGGTATGACATTCCTCATTCTAACTTATATTTTTGTTATGGCAGCCAAAAAACTTAATTTTTATGGCGAAAAAAGGGTTAAAATTTTTGTCAAAAATACAAAGTTCAGATTTTTGTAAAAAATTCGACATTTTTTACCGGTTTTTTCATCGTAGTTCAGCCAAATCAAGGCATACAGCTAAAAGACCGACTGTTTTGAACAGCTTGCTAAATATGCTAACGATCCTCATCACTTTTACAAAAATTTATTTTTGGACCAATTTTCTCAATTTTTGTAGGGTTACATCACTTTTTTTCGAAAAATCTCAAAAATTAAATATTTTTAGGTTGAAATGCCAATCGATTGAAAATTAAACAACGAGCTCAACGAGGTATGACATTCCTCATTGTGACTTATATTTTTGTTATGGCAGCCAAAAAAACTGAATTTTAATGGCGAAAAAAGGGTTAAAACTTTTGTCAAAAATACAAAATTCAGATTTTTATCAAAAATTTGACATTTTTTTCCGGTTTTTTCATCGTAGTTCAGCCAAATCAAGGCGTACAGCTAAAAGACCGACTGTTTTGAACAGCTTGCTAAATATGCTAACGATCCTCATCACTTTAATTTAATACTTTATTTTTGACCAATTTTCTCAATTTTTACATTACTTTTTTTCAAAAAATCTCAAAAATTAAAAATTTCTAGGTTGAAATGCCAATTGATTGGAAATTAAACGAGGTATGACATTCCTCATCTGACTTATATTTTTGTTATGGTAGCCAAAAAAACTGAATTTTTATGGCGAAAAAAGGGTTAACATTTTTGTCAAAAATACAAAATTGATTTTTTATCAAAAATTCGACATTTTTTTCCGGTTTTTCCGTCGTAGTTCAGCCAAATCAAGGCGTACAGCTAAAAGACCGACTGTTTTGAGCAGCTTGCTAAATATGCTAACGATCCTTATCACTTTTAGGAAAATCTATTTTTTGACCAATTTTCTTAATTTTTGTAAAGGTTGCATCACTTTTTTGCGAGAAATGGCAAAAATTAAAAATTTTTAGGTTAGAATGCCAATCGATTGGAAATTAAACAACGAGCTCAACGGGGTATGACATTCCTCATTCTAACTTATATTTTTGTTATGGCAGCCAAAAAACTGAATTTTTATGGCGAAAAAGGGTTACAATTTTTGTCAAAAACACAAAATTTAGATTTTTGTCAAAAATTTGACATTTTTTTCCGGTTTTTTCATCGTAGTTCAGCCAAATCAATGCGTACAGCTAAAAGACAGACTCTTTTGAACAGCTTGCTAAATATGCTAACGATCCTCATCACTTTTAGGAAAATTTATTTTTTGACCAATTTTCCCAATTTTTAATTTTTTGCTAAAAATGTTAAAAATAAAAAAATTCTAGGTTTGAATGCCAGTGGATTGGAAATTAAACTACGAGCTCAACGAGGTATTACACTTCTCACTCGGACGTTTTGTTGCATTATGGCCAAAACACTGATTTCTTAAGTCGAAAAAATGAAATTCAGATTTAAGACAGAAAAAAATAGCAACTCTTGAAACTTAACTGAACTCATATTTTTTTTGAGTGCACTTGTATTTTATTTTGATTTATTTTCCACTGCGGCTCATTTCCGTTCTCGAATAAGCAGAGGAATCGGGAATAAAAGGCCATGGCCTTTACGGCTGGGGCTTGGACCACTCGACGCAGAGGATCAAGTGGTCATAGCCATGGCCATTAAGGACTTCAATGGCGGCGGCTGCATCCTGACGGAACTTGAAGTGCACATAGGCGAATCCCTTGCAGAGACCGGTGTTCTTTTCGCGAGCCAGATACATCTTGGTGTGGGGTCCGATTTTCTTCACCAGCTCCTCGAGATCGGCCTCGGTCATGGATTCGGATAGGTTTGATATACGAACTGCCGACGAATCGTCCCGTTCGCGACCCCAGTTTTTGCCAGAGGCGCCGACCCCGCCGTCCTTCATGAAGGGCGGCACATATTTTCCCGTCTTGCTCGGATCATTGATGGCGGCAGCAGCCGCCGCATTGGCCTTGGACTCCATCAGTGTCTTGCTGTCCATGGAGGTGCCTTTGTAGGGACAATTGACACTCCAGTGTTCGCCGTTGCATATGCGACACTTGGCGATGTTCTTGCCGGCATCCAGTTGAGTTTCGTGGGATTGATCAAAGTCCTTAGAGCCAATGAACTGCATAAATACCTCCTCGGAGGCCATGGTCGTCTGGGAATTGGGTCCGGGCTTGTCCAAGCGGGAATCCCCGAATTTCACCCAGCTACGGCGACGGGCCACCGCCTTCGGAACGATCTGCTTCTCGATCTTGAAGGTGCGCACCACCTTCACCTTCTTGCCATCCTCGTTGAACTTGTACTCCGTCACGTACTTGTAGTCACCCTCGATGTACTCGTTCGAAGGCGGCAGACCATCCACGTAGTCCGCCTCCACCTCATCGGCCCAGGATGTATTGAAGGTTTTCATTTTTCGAGATATGTAACTTTACTCCGAAATTGATCAAAAGTCAGTGAGGTACTGTGCTGTCCTACTTGATTTTCACTTGAATTTTACCGATAGCCTGCTTGGA